CCCCCCGTCCTTTCCTCCTCCAGGCGATAAAGCCTTCGCGCAGTTCCTGACGGATGAGATCCAGGAGGAGAAGAAGATTCAGAAGCACAAATCCCTGCCCAAGGTGTCTGGGGGGTGGGAGCTGGAGGTGCACGGCACAGAGGCCAAGCTGGTGCGGAAGGTGGCTGGGGAGAGGTGAGTGCAGGCGAGCCCTTACACCTAGTAAATCACCACAACCGGATCGCTCCTCGAGGTCGTGCCGCTTGTACCAGCGTCTGAGCCTCGCTGTTCTACCATCTATGTTTTTACACACGCTTGCTGCTGTATTTGTTACAAAATTATACTTGCTGATATATATATAATGTTACAAAATTATAACCTGCCTTAAAAATGATGGTTTAGTCTACTAAAATTTGAAAAGTTTGTGAGGGTGATTGGAGGAATCTGGCTTCACTCCGGTGTGTGCTTTAAACCACGATATGTGGTCGTGTTCACGGTGTGTGAATTCAACACCGGTAGTGCTGTCCCCACAGCAAAAGCTTCAAACAGAAGACATTTTGATGGCTGTTTCTTGCCTATGCTCAAAGTAATTGCTGCTGTTTCTTTTGAAGCATAACAGTCACGTTCAACATCAATAACAGCATTCCACCAGCCATGGATGATGAAGCACAGGAAGAACAGAAGCCTGATGAGCAGGAGGTAACTGAGCCTTGCTGTTGCTCTTCAGCACTGGGTGCACAGAGGGAAGTTAAAAACTTGTCCTTAAGCATTAAAGGATTTTTTTTCCTCTCTTAGGAACATTAAGTCATGAAATGCAGATATTTTTTTCTGGGTTGGCTGTTACTTGGCTGTGACCCTATTTGTACAGCAGAAAGGCAGCCCAGGGTGACAGGGCTCTACAGGGAGGAATGAGAGAAACTTGGGTATCTCTTGTGTTGCAGCCCCCTGCAGTAAATCCTGCCATTTGCACTTAGCTCACGGTGCTGCTCGGCGATACTAACGAAAAGCAAAGCTGTTCGTGTGTCTTCACTTGCATGGGTTTTTTTGGTCAGAAGCATCACAACTCCTGTTTAACAGGACTGTTAGTAAAAATGCTGGTAAAAATTGTACATGTTGCTTTGGAGGGACCTGCCCAGGTGAGCCGCAGCTCTGTGGGCTGGCAGGGGCTGGCAGACACCCCCAGCTGCCGTTTTACCTGTGTGACTGGCTGCAGGGCAAGGAGGGGCTGGAGGGCATTGGTGAGGCTGGGGGAGGCTTGGCCTGCCCTGGCCAGAGACCCCAGACAGGGTGTGAGGGAGGGCCGGGTGCTGCGTGGGCTGTGTTGCTGGGCTGTGCCGTGATCGTTTAGGCTCCTGTTAAGATTCCAGTGCTGATGCCACCGTTCTCTTTCTTAGCCTGATCTTACATCAACTCCAAACTTCGTCGTGGAAGTAATAAAAAATGACACAAACCAGACCCTTGTTCTTGACTGCCACTATCCCGAAGATGAGGTGGGTGTTGACCTGGTCGTGTGTCAGCCATAGCCAGCTCTGCGCTGCAACTCGCTGCGTGTTTCCTGCTCGACTGTGGTGCAGTTGTGCTGCTGTTGAATCCAGCTGGTCTGTGTAGTCTCTCGCTTTTCTGAGTCTGTGGAAAATGCAGTCTCCTCTTACCTCTTTCTTTTTTTTTGTAAGAACAAGCTGTGGGGACGTGTTCCCTTGTACTGCTCACACTCTGAGCCGGTGTTTCTGATCGGCTGCTTGTTGGCTGGTTTATGGAATTACTTCAGAGAAGGGAGGCATGGCTTCACTTTAACAGCGCGGTGACTTGAAGGGGGTGAACAGGAATGGCCAAATTGATGTAGATTTAACAGCGAGTCAGTAACTTGTAAATCTCACCGTTGTGAGGTGTCACAAAGAGAAGTAGGGATTAAAAACACAAAGAGCATGGCGGGGTAATAAAACAGAGAGCTTTGCTTCAGACTGACCTTTAAGCTTTATTTTGTTAACCTTACCGTGTCCTTTACGCAGCCAGCCCTGGCTGACAAAGGTCAGACAGACATGAAGACAGATTTAGAACCAGCAGAAGAGGGTTTTACATCTTTGTAAAAATGAGGCTGCTGACTTACATCAGGTTGCTGCTGGCAGCGTGAGCCCGACCTCTGAAGGGATTTCCTGTGTTCCTGTGCATGTCTGTGCTTGTCTGCAAGGATGTGTGAGGGGAGCAGCACAGCACTGGTACTGTCTTGGGGTTCTGCCTGCAGTGTAATGTTCCTAGCCTGGGAGCCCATAGTTAGAGCTCATGATGTCTTGCATCTCATCTGCTGTTTCAGGTTGGACATGAGGGAGAGGAAGAAAGTGATATTTTCACGATTCGGGAGGTCAGTTTTCAGCCCACTGGGAAATCGGATTGGAAGGACACCAACTACACCCTCAATACGGATTCCCTGGACTGGGTAAGTGGTGCTCACACGGCCGCAGCTGCAGGGGCAGCCAGCTCATCTCGCCTGACCATCCGTTTGCTCCCCAGTTAGGACTGAGTCCTGGACCGGTTGTCCGAGCCAGGGAATTGCCCTTCTCTGTTCCAGCATGCCACGAGACAGTGGGAGCTGCAGACTGGGGGTTGTTCCATGGTGCCAGCAGCTGTGCAGTGCTGGCGGCTTTACTGGTGATTTCTTCACAGCCGTATTATGTTTTAGAGATGTCTTGACACGTGCTCAGTATCTTCCAATCTGTGTTTAACAGTGTAGCTCGTCAGACACCACGTGTACCTGTCTTTGTCTTACGGGATTTCTAGGTGTGTGTTTAGAGTGGTGACACTAAAAGCTGGCATGCCCAAGAATCTGGCAACTGCTTTTCTGATCTCAGTGCCAGGCTTTCAGAAGCTTCAATCTTAGTTGGAGGCTGTGTCATACGATTACAACTTTACTCCTAGAGTGCATGTGTCTCTGTTTAAGGGTCAGAGAGAGCAGGATTTTCTCTCTATTGTCCCCTACCCTCCCAGGGGGAGGATTAGGAAAAAAAAAAGGGAATAGAGAAAAAGATGCTTCGCACAAGGTTGGAAGTTAAGACTGCAACAAGTTTAATGAAAAAAAAACAACAGGGGAAAGGAAAAGGGAATTAATAAGGGACAAAGGATATTTAACTCTATACAAAACCCAATCCCAGTAGTCCCGAGTGGAAGTGTCCCAGCAGTGCCTTGTGGCCGCTGTGTCTCATCACCAGGGACCACAGTGGTGCCGGGAGCGGGTGGCGGTGGATGCTGCCGAGCACGTGGAGCTAGGCCCAGCCCGACATGGGAAAGTAAGCAGCCCAGGAAGCCAGGAAAAGCCCGTGAAAACCTGGGCCTCCTCAGTTTTCTACAGACTGTGGCTGGAAAGGGGAGGGAACAGCACTGATCTGTGACCCCAAGGGTCCTACAGACACCACCTGTCCTTCCCTTTCAGGCTGGTAACCCTTAAACCTTAACAGCATCTCTTTGGAAAGCATTCATGTTAAAATTGGTCAGTGTGCTCTAGAACATCCCATGCTGCTTTTTTTTTCCCCTCTCTCTGACATAAGACAGAAAATCAATTTAAAATGTGTATGATTTGCGATCTACTCAGATTACAGAAGTCCAAAAATAATCATTTGCTCAGTGACACTGAACTGTTTAGAAACAAACAAAACCAACAACCCAAAAACCCAAGAAATGCATGACAGGCATTGGCATTACTGCAAAAAAAATGAATCTGTTCTGAGGAGCGAGGGGTGAACCCACAAGCATTAACATACGTTGGAGTTGCAACAGATTATGGTTAAAAAGAAGGAAAAAACCAAAAAAGAGTTGGCAGTTGTAGAAGACTGTCTCTCAAACAAGTATTTACCTCAGATACCACTCTTCCCAGACACTGTAGGCATTCCCTCCAGGGCCATCGCACAGTGTAGGGACAGGCAGCGCGTGGCATGCGTCATCTTCAGCAGACTTCACCTGCAGTCTTGTGATTATCTCCAGAGCGCAGCTTGTTTGTAACGTTGGGTTTGGGTTGATGTGACCTGTTCCATGTCCCGCTCCCTCTAAAGGGCCAGATCCACTGAGAAGGGGATGGGGAGGTGCCTCCTCTGCAGGAGGTGGGCCTGAGTTTCCTGGGAGACAGAAATGCTAGCTGCCATTTTAAATACAACTCATACCTGGGTGTGCTCTGAGGGTTTCTTGTTCATTGTTTCCAGGCTCTGTACGATCACTTAATGGATTTCCTCGCTGATCGAGGAGTGGACAACACATTTGCGGATGAGTTAATAGAGCTCAGCACTGCACTGGAGCACCAGGAGTACATTAAATTCCTTGAAGACCTTAAAAGCTTTGTCAAATGTCAGTAGGTTAGGCTAGGAAACTTATCTTCAAGCGTGGGTATTCCCTAGCACTGCTCAGCCAGCAATACCCAACTATGTCTTCACAAGAGCTGCGGAGAGTAACTCATTTGGAAATGAGCACCATGGGAGAAGGAGGATTCTCACTTGTATTTGGGGTTTTGTATTTATGTTGCAGCCCAGATCAAGTTCTCTGACATTATGGTCAAGAATTGCCTCACCCTGCTTGATGGGTTTTGTACAATTAAGAATGAATGTGAAGAATAAAATGTGTTCAACATATCACTGAACCACCTTCTTGTGGCACCACTGATGAACAGAGCTGCTGTGTGATGGTGTGTGATGGTGTGTGCTGGCTCCAAGTTTTCTCAGGACAAGCTACTCCTGTGCCTCCAGCCATGCAGCATGCCTCTGACTGCTGGCCAAACAGGGCTAATTATGACATGAATCTCATTTGAGACATCTTGGCTGGCTGTGGGTTAGGGAGTAGAACTCAGGGTCTGAAACGTTGTGTTTTAGAAGCTGCTCTGCAGAGGGATGTGCTACCCTGTCCTGTTACATTAGTATTAGTGTTGCTTGTTTGGAAGATACTGGGGAAGGCTGGAGCACTTCCATTCCAGGATGACAACGATGGAGACACTGTGGGTGCTGGTGGCAAAGGCACCACTGCAGGGCAGCAGCTGCGCTCATTGCTCAAACCCCTGTCCCCAGGTGCTGCCTGAAGGTCCGAGCAGGTCTGAACAGAAACCACAGCTGAAGTCCAATGCAGTCTGTGAGATCACTGATGCATTGTTAAAGACAACACTAAGGCTGAAATAAATGAAGTGTATTTATTTCAAAACAAAAGTGCAGGTCGAGGCAGTGCCACTGCCTTTTCAAGTTGCTTTTTGAGACAGCAGTTACAAGTATATACATAACAATACCAGCAGCTCTAGTGGATTTTTAGTCTTGAAGTCCTTTCAGTAAAAAAAACCAGCAGCCAAGTCAACTTAGAGGAGAATTGTCCAGGAGTCACAGACCTTTAAAAAAAATGCAAGTTGAACACAAGTCAAAATAATTCATTTTACATATTACTAATGTTCAAAAATGTCTGAAATGCTCTGCTCTTCACATTGTCCTCACAGTGATTTTATGTAAGCAGCAAAGCTAAAAACTTGCTAGCTGTAGCTTGAGCCAAAGGGATGATGTGTGGTTTCTGAGAGGTATGGGCAAGCCTTTTGAGGAGGCTTAAATTGAAGTAATTTTTAAAACTTTCTCCATAAACCACTTATCTGAACAGCTGCTCCACACCAGACTTGGAAGCTGTTACCTAAGGTGTGAGAAAAGCAAGACATTTGACAGGTCCTTGAAAGAGTCTCTAATGCAGCAGTTAAGTTGTGTAATTTGCCTGTTCCTTTTACAGCTACTGGTGGTCAGAATTAAAACCATTTCCAAGGAAGTTTAGCAAGACACTTGACAGATCCTTGAAAGAGTCTCTAATGCAGCAGTTGTGTAATTTGCCTGTTCCTTTTACAGCTACTGGTGGTCAGAATTAAAACCATTTCCAAGGAAGTTTGGAAAAGCAGAAACACAAACCCCTTGGATCAACAGACCTGTGGTTTCTGCCCATGTAATTGGGAAGCAGATCCAAGCAGAGATTCTGTCCAGAAACTGGACACAGACTCACCGGACAGCTCATGAGGAGACTGGCTTCCTCCTCCATTCCGCTGGTAACTGTGAACTCTGGGTTGTGCCAGCACCTGAGACTGTGCTCTGTGACAGTGTTTTCTAGAAGCAACCGAAGCTTTTCTTCTGTCATACCCTGAGAAAAAGGGTTAAAGTCACTTTCTGTAGCTTACAACTGCCACTTTGCAGTCGCAGTTCCCGCATTACTCAGCGTAGAGCTTACCTGTGTGCTGATGTATAACCCACACTGGCAAAGCACTGAGTGACTTCTTACAGTCAGGTTGTTCCTAGAAAGAGCGTGCAATGAGCATCATCACAAGACCCAGAACAAGGGCAGATTTTAGCAATAAATCCACTACCTATAGGAGATAATTGCTCAGGTGTTTTTAATTTGTTGAAATGAACAGGAACAGCAGTCTCTGCTCATTGCTTTTGCCTGTTTCTAAGCCCAAACTGCAGTAGGGGAGCAGAGAACCTCAGTCCAATGCCAAGGGCTTTCTTACTTTCTACACACTGGGCAGATGACCTTGTCGCTGGCATCCAAGCCATCCAGCATCGCCATGAGACATTCTTCATCAAACTGCATTCTTCGCTCGTACTCTTCTATAACAGACTGTTCTGCAATAACACAGCACGATACCCTCAGGCATGTTAGGAACCAAAGACAAAGCAGCACGTGTGGAGCTGCTGGGCAGATGCGAGCTGGGGCAGCCACTAGTTCTGAACTGTTCTCTCTTTGGATCTGATTCCTGTACATGAGGAAATCATTCCTGTTTATCCAGATTTTTATCCCGTGGCTCATATCTTGAGCTGGTCTCAAGTGGATGACTTTCCACTCTGAATTGATTTATACAGGTTCATCAGTGCTGTTTCTCTGGTCTCCTTTCCTACTAGCTTCTCACAGACCTTAAAATGCCACTTAAACTCTTAGAACTCAAAAAGGGGCTCAACGCATTAGAGAGGCAAAAAGAGATCTCTAAGGAGGCTCTTTTGTATCACATGGCCTACAAGAACCAAGCACCCTCAGCTAGTTTGGATCACTAGAAAGTCAGGACTATTACAAACCAAACAGGAGTCAGAAAATGTGTAGAGAAATTACCTTGCATGATCAATTCTTGTTGGATCTCTTCCAGTACTGCTAGCTCATCAGGGTCCTCTACCATCTGAAAGGGGCACCAGTCAGTGATGATCCCATCCTGGCTACTTTCTCACTTAAATTCCAACACCTGACTGAGCTGGCAACACAACATAAATTCTCTCTGCTCCTTCTTCTGTCTGGTAAATCTCTTTATGTGTAAAAACATGCAGTGTGTAAAGCAATCTATAATGTAATCACCTGTGCAAAGTACCATAGCAAGTCAGAACACGACCTGTCCAAGAGCTTGCTTTTTAAAGCATTCAAGCTTTATTCCTGTTTTCAGGAGCAGTCATGACAAACTAGCTCTGAAAACTGCAGATGAGGAACCCACCTTCAGCTGTGAATCACACGCAGGTTGTAAATTTCCCCACTGGTGAGCCCCAAGGCAAGCCCCTTCACAGCATAACACCCCACACTGTTTGCAGAAGCAGGAAACCCAAAAGCTCTGAGTTTTGCCAACTCCAGCCAGCAAGGAACCAAAGCCACAGCTGCAGATCAAATAGACAGGTAGCATGTTGGTGCTGGAGACTGCTTCAGCCCAAGCGCTCGTACTGACCTGGGCCCCGAGGGCGGGCAGACTGTCCTGTGCGGCCTGCAGCGTCCTGCTCCACCCCCGCCCGCACCAACAGCGTGCCCGCGGCCGGGCCGCACACTCTCTCCCCGGCCTGGCGGTAGCGGTCCAGCAGCTTGGCCCGGCTGCTCCTTATCCTCTCCATGCAGCGCTTGGAGGGAGCAGAGCACACGGAGCCCGTTAGTGTCGCGCTGGGGCGGGAGACGGGGCCTGGCGGGGCTGCACAGGAGCTTGGTGACAGCTCCTACCGGGACTGGGCCTGACCAACCCGCGCTGGCGGCGCCAGGCCCTCATCGGGAAAATTCGGGATGGGGCTCGGCTCACCCACCCGGGAGTGCTCGGACCGTGGCCAAGGGCGCGGCACAGCCACACTCACCCGGCGGTA